CTCTATATATTATTAAAGACGAGACGTTATACTATATATTGCCTTAGTAAAATATTCAATATTTATTGCTTTATTAAATTTTAAAAACTGTGATCAGAACTTTTGGTATACCCTAAGTAATCATCGCTCTGCAGATAGTGATAGTGCTCGCTATTTTAGGAATTCCTATTTTTCAATTCTTGGACATTGCTAGGTTGATCTGTGACAAATGCAGAATGTATTGCAATAGTGAACGGAATTCGAATACAGAGCTTCAATACTCGTACCTAAACTGGATACTACTCAATCACTTTTTCCACAAATCGGTTTTTTTCGTGCCTGCTCAAATACTTGTCAGCATTAGTGATTGCAAAATCCACGTTCAAAGGCACACTATAACTATCAAAATATCAAATTAAAAAGTCCATTTCATGACGATCATTTTAAGGAAAATAGTTTTAGATAAAATTTAAAACTATAAAAAAAAGTTGCAAATAATATCATCTTTTAGTTATAAATGAAGAATAAATTTTGTTCATTTGAAATCATACAAAAAAAAAGGAAACTTAATACTAACCATTTTCCCGATCAAACCATGTTCCAAATTGAATTTTCGTAACATTTCGAAAAGGAATATCGATCGTCTGGTATTGACTCATTTTGGATAAGATTCTCAATGACATCAGAAGATCTGACTCGTCAAAACTTATATTACGTCCTATAACAAGAAAAATAAATTTTATTTACTTTAAATATTGTTTTAGTTATTTTTCCATTAGATTTAGCTGAAAACAAGATAGATGAAATCTTTCTTCTCATATAATTGTTTCGTGAAAATTAATGCTTTCTATTTTCCTCTATCGTTTTTTTTAGGAACTAGACGCAAAGAAATTACATGAATATGTACTTCTTCAGTTATCAAGAAAACTATTGAAATAGCAAAACAATTTACTTTTGTATACTTTAATACAAGAAATATTAGGAGATAATTCATTGAATTGTTCAAGAAATAAATAAAGTGATGGATGTAACTGAAACCAGGTACCGCCAATATGTGGCCAATTGAAAATATTTGGATAATTACTAAAAGACAAGAACATAATTGAATTAAGAAGATCTCAACAGATATCTCACATCAGACTATCAGAGAATTGAACTGTATTAGAAGAAGAGAAAAGATGTTGACATGACATGATTGGATCAAATAAACATTTAACATTTGTCCATTGATGTAAAATAAAAAAAGAATGAATTTTAAATGAATTAATTATTTTTTCTATATCATTAAATGATAATTGACATTCTGAACAAATATAAAAATTGAAATCAATTAAATTCGGTATTGTATCTGGTAAACAATATTCTCGAATGAAATTGGCATCAATAAAAGTTTTCCATATTTTTTGACACCTCGTTTCAATTAGTTTATCACTTTTAAGATGAAGTCGAAGTTTTTCAACATGATTTAAATTGTTGAGAAGCCATTTCAAATAAACAAATTGTAAATCTTCGTAAATGAAAGTTTGTAAACTTAAATATCGTAGTTTTGGTACCTAAAAAAGGTTTCAATTGTTTTTATTAATCAAAAGCAAAAACTATGTTGAGAAATTCATAAAATAAAAAAAAGATGATTTTTCTTACTTTATTAGACCAATTTTTATTTGATTTTCTCAGCGTTTCAACATGCGATTTCCATAATGGATCTAATCCCAATGAAGAATCAAACTGAACTGACATTTGTTCGAGATTAGGTACATGTTTGATAATATTTTTCAGAAAACATGTATATTTAAGTCGAATAAATAAACGACGAAGAGTCATACAACAAGATTGAGGTTGACGTCGCATAAAATTCGAAGATAGATGAGAATTTGATGTTAAACATCGATGAATATTACCATCCACTAGTTCGTTGCTAATATCAAGTCGAAGAGTTGTTAATTGACATTGAACAGAGAATAGTTGACAAAGAAATTGTTTGAGTATGATCATTTGTTTTTCTATTATATGTCAAAGAAAAACAAAGGAGAGAAATATTCTATTATTAAAAAGAAAAATATTCGCGTTTAAGACAGAATCTTCTCACTTTCTAAATTATAAATAATATTTAAAACAGAAAAAACTTTTTTTTTTTCATTTTAGATTTCACAAAATAAAACTCATGTTTACAAAATGTCATATTTTTTTGATTGATCAAAGTATCGAACGTTAAGAATAAGTATAGAAATAAATTTTAATCTACACTAAAATCCGCCTTAGATCTGTATCTTCGGAACTTTTTCAAATCGCCCACTTGACGGAAGTGACTGCATTAGAGAAGTTTTGACAGATAACAGTCACAAATATGTTTTCCGCAAGTTGCATCACAAACAATGCCCGTACATATATATTGCTACTCTGTTCTTGGACCTTCGAGTGTGCCCAGTATTTCACTCTCATCATCTGTTGTCTTCTCTTCATCTAAATTTATTTTCTATTCTCTTATCTACAATCAAGATTTGGAAAAAGTCCATAACCCTTAAAAGCCGAAGGATGTTTTCTTGACATTAAAGAAAAACTAATCACTAGAATAGAGCATCTGAACCCTCGGTATGATCATGTTATAATTGTAAAAAAATATCTTTTTTTCTTAAAAAATACAGAATGTCCCTTGAAAGGCAAATCTTGTACTATTCTCAATTTATGTCAAAAGAGTTTTTTCTTTGGAATAATATTATTTATTTGTTTGTTATTACTCAAAAAATGAATTGAAGCAATATTTGACACTTTTTCAAAGTTGACGCACTCTCTGTTCCAATATAAGGGCTACTTGAAATTTTTTGATCCGTTAAGACCGAATGTTCCTCCCAAGAGACATTTTCTTTGTGCTATCATTATGTGCCAGCAAGTCGGTTAAAAATTTATGAAATAATTTCAATAGATAGCTTGTCGTTGTGTTTCGTGATATGGCTCAGAAAAACAAAAATTCACGCTATATTTATGAACAGGCAAACTTTTTAAAATAAGAACTGGCATTTAAAAAATGCACGAATTTTATAACACCTGCTGCAGCTTCTCATAATCAGTTTTGAGAGATTTCTTTTTCACTCTATATTCTATCAGACCATGAAAGTCTAGGCAAATATTGCTTTTTGCGTAAACGGCTTTATTACGTCTTCTATAGCATTTTTCACAATGTCCCTTGGAAGGAACATTCGGCTTTTAAGGAATAATTGAGCTTTGCTTGTTTTTATATATCAATGTCAAATAGCACGACTATTTGTACTCTTTTTATCACTGATTGCATAATTAGAAATGTATAGATGAGTGAGTTGTATTTTTTTGTTATGTTGGACGAAAAACGTTTCTCCGTCCCATTCACAGAACAACACAGAGCGACGAGAAGGAAAAGAACGGTGAACTAATTCAAATATTAACTATATGTGCTCATGCAAGAGAGGTTCGATTAGACAGTATGGCATCAAAAAAAAATAGTGCCCACTGCTAAGAAATGAGAGATGCTCTTGTTATAGAGGCTCATTAACAGTAAAAATCGGTCGGTCGGTCCGCCAGATGTCCACATAACCGAGGCGTCCTTTTTAGAGCAGTGCCCACATAGAGAAACTTTACTGTATTTCAATTGAATCAAGTAGATGAATATATACAGTGGCGTAGCCAAAAATTTTCTAAGGGGTGCCCGTCATAAGACGAAATCTTTAACCCTGTAGCCCTCTTCAGCCATTTTTTTTCTCCAAGGAAGCTGCTTGGACACCATGATCATCCTCCTGGCTACGCCCTGAATATATATCAATTAATTGACATTTAAATGAATCATTCACAGGAACATGTCTAACATAAACATAATATAGGGTCAAAAATGCAACAAGATCTATTTATAATTCCATTGTAGTTGTTGATATATAAGATTCTTTTCATAGGAAGAAAACGATGAATTTTTAAATTCAATAGTTTTACGTATCATACTAATTTCTCTGTCTTATGAGAGAATCTGGTGAAGTGATAAATCGATTTTGAACTGAAACTTATGCCACTGAACGGGACGTATTGAGATGCAATATAGCCTAAATTCATTCGAGCTCATTCTGCATTGTTCTTGAACTATGTGACCATTTCACTGAATTATCGCTCAATACTAGGATATCTCAACATATGTCAAATATAGAAATTCTAATCTGAAAATTTGCGCAAAATAGCTCTTCTGGTACTCTTAACATATCAGCTATTGTAGCTCAAATGGGTTGCTCTTTTCTTACGCATGAAATTCTCAAAATGGATACTTTATAAAATATTTGAAAAGGTACAAATTTCTGAAGAACTTGATATCATGGGAATAAACCGTTTGTTTCCGTTGAAAATCTTGTTGCATTAAAGTTAACATGACACTGATTTAAGAGTAAATTTGAGATCGAAATTCCAACATTTGATATTTCTTAATACCTTCTGTCATTCATCGAAAATTCAGTAGAATCGTCATATGTAGAGATGTGCGAGACCAAGTTATTTAGTTACGGTCTTAGAAACTTATTTCCCAATAGTCTCAGCTATAGTCCTGGTAAATTTGGTCTGGTTCCGGTTCCATGATTTTAATTGTTCAGATACCGACTATGATCTTAGTCTCAGCTTAAAATGAACTGTTTCAGAATTTATTCACATCAAATCTAAAAAAAATCTTAAATACCCGTTCTTTCGTCTATTCATTAGACGAACGTCACTCTTTTTCGTCACCTCTCTTGACTTTTGTTTTGATTGGTATGACTTATAAGGTAATTCGCTCAAAACTACAGATCATTTAAATGCAATCTATAGGTTCGGTTCAGACGACTTTATTTTTATCGTCGTCTAGATATCAGTTCACTCTTGCACATCTCGGATAATAACTCAAGAACAAAGCATTAGGAGCACGAATCAATTTAGACTTTTTCTTGTATCAATACATCTTATGCAATCAGATAATTCTCACCTTAGAAGTGATCTATCAACCCGCAAGATTTTCTTTCAAAATAATTAAATCAACTTCTACTTTATCGCACAAAGACTGATATTTTCTAAAGATATCTAGATATCTGATTATGGTTATAGATTTCAATCTATGCTTAAACAGACATATCTACCATGAAGATAGCAAAATCTAGAAAGGCTTATGTTTTATCGAGATTGACTTGAAGATGTTAAGATAAGAAAGTATCAAGTGTAGAAAATATATAGATGAGCGACTAGTTACAGATTCTAAGATTTTTTTTTTCTTCTAGACGGAAGCTCACAGACTGACACCATTTACCTTCTACATGAATAGATTCTCTGTTCATTCGTCCCTAAATGATTCTAATTAGTATTAAGAGCTTCATTGATTTCTTCGAAAAAATCCGTCGAATATGAAAGTAGAGGAGATGAACGTGGTGTCTTCTTTTTGGAACAAAAAAATTCTAATCAGATAAATTCGAAACCGATATTTTTACGTTGAGTTTTTTAGTGGATGGATTTATATGAGATGTAAATGGTCTCAATCAAGGATGAGTTCTTCAAGACACATGAATCTCATCTTGACTTATAGAATCTATCATATAAACGATTGATTACCTATATCAGAAACCATTGACACATGTTCTTTTACATAAAAAATCCGTTCAAACACTTGCTGATCAAATGTTAACGTAAGTTCATCTAATTGATGTTCAATAAGATAAGATAAACATTGAATTACTGGTTCAATTGATCCACATCGAGTAAGAATAAGTGATTTAAGATTAGAAAAATGAAGAATTTTTTTATCATTAAACAACCATTCATAACAAAGATCAGAAGCAATTGAATTTGTTCCATCAAAATGAATACGTTGAATAGAAGAAGAAAGAGATGAAGAATTTAAAATCAATGGAAATAATATTGAACAACATTTATTATAAGATAAACCTTGTTTAATACAAATACCCGTATTCGATAGATTGTCATTTATCGAAAGAGTTGAACACACAAGAAAGTTGAAGCGAATATTTAATGACCAAAAAGATGTTAACATATCGAACCATTCAAGATAAGAAAAAATATGAAGAAGGATTTCATTAGGTAGTGTTTCCATTCTAGTTATTATTTGATCTAAAAAGAAAGATATGTTATGCTTCTCTTTTGTTTTTTTCAGATTCGATTACAATTGATCGTCAATGGAATGACTGACATAATGAAATGAAAAGAAATTCTATTCACTTTTCAAGTTCCCATGAATATTATTGAACTTCAAACAATTTTTACTTAAATTAGAAAATCATTTTAAAATAAAAACCCGTCTAAGTCTTGAGACATTAGTGAAACACGACTATTTGATAAATAAGGATGCCATTTCTTAATTCATGTGAGCATTATTATACAAATATATGAGATCAACAGTTTCGATCTTATAACTTTATTAATTCAGTTTTTGATCTAATTATTGTATGAAAAAAAAGAAAAATTTTCATTTTACGAACGTATGAAAGAGTAAATGTCCCTATTAAAAGAGAGAAATTAGTGGCTTATGGTGTTGGAACCACCATTAGTCCATACTATACATTGTAGGAAAAAAATATCATCTTCTTTTCTAGTATATTTGGTATTCTAGATAGTACCTGCCGCTCAAAGCTAATATGCCACAAACCGCAGTCAAGTTCACATTTTCTCATCGATATGATTTGCTAAGCAAATCAATGAACTCTGCCATTAGGAAAAGAAAACAATGGGAGAATATACAATCTAGCTTCACTACATTTTAAAGAGCACATTTTAGAGATTTAACTTCTAGAAAATTTTTTTCTATTCAATGTCGAAAAACTGTGCACTAAGTCAGACAACATAAGTCACTAATTTTGTCTCTTCATTAAAAACGTTTATTCTATGAATTATTGTGCATCGATGAAAAAAAAAGTTCCTATAATGAAGAATTGAAATATTTTTAACATTATATCATAAGATAAAATCTTTTTCAATTTTATCTTATCCATTTGAATTTTCCAGAATGATTG